ATTCTCTTGGCTGCTTTGAAATGCTCCTGTCTTGGCTCCTCCATATATCTGCTCACCAGTCCTACCGCGAACACTATGTCGGGCCTGGTGATGGTTAGGTAGCGCAAGCTCCCGACTAAACTCTTGTATAGAGTTGGATCAATATAGCTTCCTGGTGTGTCTCGCCTCAGCTTCACTCCGACTTCTGCAGGAGTTGCGACTGGATTGCAGTTGCTCATGTTGAACTTCTGAAGGATATCCTTTGCATACTTCTTCTGAGAGATGAAGATTCCTTTCTCTGATTGCGACACTTCTACTCCAAGAAAGTATGACATTTCTCCAATGTCAGTCATCTCGAACTCCTTGATCATATTCTTTTTGAACTCCTCGAACATTTTCGGATTGTTGCCGGTGAAGATCATGTCGTCCACGTAGAGACATACGATCATGATGTCTTCATCCTTCTTCTTGGTATAGAGAGAGTGCTCATACGGGCTCCGATGGAATCCGTTCTTCTGGAAGTATGCATCGATTCTGGCATTCCATGCTCTGGGCGCTTGCTTCAGTCCATACAATGCCTTCTTCAGCTTGTAGACTTTGTCTTCTTGATTCTTCACCTCGTACCCTGGTGGTTGCTTGATGTAGACTTCTTCTTCTAAGTAGCCGTTCAGGAATGCAGACTTCACGTCCATCTGGTAGATCTTCCACCGGTTCTGTGCTGCCAATGCGATAATGAGTCGGATGGTGTCGATCCTCGCGACTGGTGCGAACACTTCTTCATAGTCAACTCCTTCTCGCTGACTATAGCCTTTTGCAACAAGCCTGGCCTTGTACTTCTCGATTCCGCCATCTTGATTTGTCTTTGTCTTGTACACCCACTTTACTCCGATTGGTTTATGGCCTTCAGGTAAGGTAGTGAGCTCCCATGTGTCATTTCTCTTGATTGCCTCGATCTCGTCATCCATGGCTTTTCTCCACTTATCTTCTTGAGCAGCTTCTTCATAGCTGACCGGATCACATTCTGCAAACAAGCAGAATAGTGTGTAGTCATCCATCATCTCGACAGGCTCTGTATCGTCGTACAGATCTCTTAGGCTTCTCATCCTCCTTGTTGCTCCCCCTGAAGAGCTTCCTTCACTTGAGCTGGATGATGTCGGCGTTGATGTTGGGGTTGATGGAGCTGGACTATTAGGTGGACTTTGTTCTGGTCTTCCAACCTCCTGCAAGTCATCATCATTATCTTCAAAGAACATACCTTTAATATTTTTATCTTCATCGGTCCATTTCCAATAATCTTCTTCATCGAACTCCACGTCTCTTGAAATGATCATCTTCTTTGTAACTGGATTGTAGAGCTTGTATGCTTTTGTCCTCCTCTCGTACCCAACGAATATGCACTTTTCTCCTCGATCGTCCAACTTCTTTCTTTTCTGCTCCGGGATGTGTGCATATGCAATACACCCAAACACCTTCAGGTGGTTGACACTTGGCTTGATGTTGCTCCACATCTCCAATGGTGTCTTGAACTTGACGCTCTTTGTCGGACATCTGTTGAGGAGGTAAACTGCACAGTCCACGGCTTCAGCCCAGTAAGTCTTTGGCAGGTACTTGCTCTTCAACATGCTTCTGACCATATCAAGAATGGTACGATTCTTCCGCTCTGCTATGCCATTCTGCTGTGGTGTGTAGGCGGCAGTGAGTTGATGAATTATCCCGTACTGCTTGTTGAAATTGTTGAATGCCTTCGAAGTGTATTCTCCACCTCGATCTGATCGGAGCACTTTGATGTGGTACCCACTTTGCTTTTCTACCATCTCCTTGAATTCTTTGAATTTCTCCAGAGCTTCGGATTTCTCCTTCAGGAAATAAACCCAAGTTTTTCTGCTATAATCATCAATAAATGTGAGAAAATACCTGTTTCCTCCAAGAGAGATGACTTCAAATGGTCCTGCAATATCTGTGTGGACCAATTGTAGCAACTCTGTTGCTCTTCTTGACTTTCCAACTTCGAAACTTCTTCTATGTTGTTTGCCCTTCATACAGCCTTCACATAGCTGGTTCGGATGGTTGATTTGCGGCAATCCTTTTACCATTTTCTCCTTCCATAGAAGATTCAGGCCACTGAAAGCGAGATGCCCGAATCGTAGATGCCAGAGCCAAGTCTCGTCTTTTATGATTGACTTCAAGCACTTGACAGGGTCAGCATGAATATTTAAGGTAAACAGTCTATTTCTAGACATGTTCACCTTTGCAATAACTTCATTTTTATTTTTAATAGTGAGGGCAAGGTCTTTTAGATGTATATCATAGCCTCTTTCAAGGAGCTGGCCTAGGCTCAAAATATTATTTCGTAATGCTGGAACATAGTAGACATCAGAGATGTACCTGTTCTCGCCCGTCTTTGTCTGGATCATTATATTTCCCTTGCCTTTTACTGGAATCTTTGACTGATCTCCAAAAGTGACATCTCCTTGTACCATCTCGTTCAGCTCGGTAAAGAACTCCTTGATGCCGCACATGTGGTTACTGGCACCTGAATCTAGATACCAGATATCTTTATTCTTGCTTTCGCTCTCCTGGTACGTCAACAGGACTGTTGAAGTGTCTGCCTGCTCCCTTTCTACAAAGTTGCTTCTTTCTGCCACTTGATTTGATTTCTCCCAACATTCGTAGCTGAGATGACCGTATCTCTTACATTTGTAACACTGTGGCTGAGATCTGTCCTCATGGTAACTTCTTCCTTGTCCTCGTCCTCGTGTGCCACGACCTCGTCCTCGATCGAATGATCGTTCACGATCTCTATTTCGATCTTGATTTTCATGGCCTCCTTGGTACTGTCTCCTACGACCTTGCTGGAAGTTTGAGCCACCTCGAAATGAGCCTCTGCCTCTGTAGCCTCCACGTCCTCTTCGACTATCTTCTTTGATAGTCATCTTACTCTGCAAGGCTTGTTCTAGATTCTCCGCTTGATTTGAACTAATGTTTATATCTTGTTCATAAGCTTGCAGAGAACCTTGCAGCTCATCAATAGATACTTCGGAAAGATCTTTAGACTCTTGTATTGCCGGAATAATATATTTGAATTTAGAGTCTAAAGTCCTAAGTATCTTCTCCATAATTCTTACATCATTAATTGCTTCTCCATTTCTCTTCATTTGATTTGTTATTGTCTGAACTCTACTAAAATAATCCGATATTGATTCTGTAGCTTTCATCTTCAAATTTTCAAATTCAACTCTTAATGCTTGGAGGCGTACCTTTTTGGCTCTTTCCGCACCTTGATAGGATTTTTGTAAAATCTCCCATGCTTCTTTAGAGGACAGGGCATTGGAAATCTTCTCAAACGCAGATTCATCTACGCCTTGGAATATTAGGAACAAAGCTTTTTTGTCTCTTTTTCTGACCTCCTTCAACTCACTCTTCTGAGTGGCGGTGAGAGTTGCTTCTGCTGCAGGTGACTCCGGTTCAGTGTAGCCATTCTCTACGAGATCCCACAAGTCTTGCGAGCCGAGCAAGACTTTCATCTGGATACTCCAGTTGTCGTAATTGGTCTTCATCAGCTTCGGAATCTGTGGCTGGATCATGTTCGCCATCTCGTACACGAGCACCTTCGATTGGCCCGGCTAGATCGAACTTTGCTCTGATACCACTTTGATGGAATTTGAAGAACACATCTCTCTACACAAAGGAAACTTTTATTGATAGAACACTTGAGAATACAACACTTGTTCTTACAAGAACACCTCACTTCCACACAATTCCTTTATTTTGGTGGACACTCACACAAGGCTACACTACACACTCAAGCTTTCAAGCTTACTTCTTGCTTGCTTGCTTGCTTACCCAAATGAGAGCACAAGACCCCTATTTATAGTTGTTTAAGAGGGCTAGGAAGTGTGTAGAAGAGTTAATCCTAGCCATACATTACTAAGAAGTTTCTAGAAGAATAAATACTAGCCATACACTTGTATCTTCCTAGAAACTTCATGGTAGATATTTTGTAGGATGTTACTAGAAAGAAGTTCTAGAAAGTTGTTCTAGAATAATCTAAGTTGGTGAGGAATTCTAATAACGCTCTCTCTTGAGTATCACAAACTCGCCCGAGCCATTCAACAATTGAAGCAGACTCAAGATTAGAGAACAAAACCATTGGCCAGTAGCCAACAACTTCATCCTCAAGCATCAACCACCATTTCTTTTGGACGTCATCCTGTAAAAAATAAAAGATTGGAATTTTTTTAGGAAGTTAGAAAAGGTAGATTTCACTTAACGCTCCTCAACTTTGTTTGCTCCACTTGACCCATCTGAACTTTGGGGTGTCTCACTTAGCCCCACGAACTATGAAGTTTTGACAACATACCCTCCTAATATCGTTACTTGTTAATGGTGAAATGATGCAAATGCCCTTTCTGGAATATAACCCCTTAAAATGAAAAAGATACACGGTTAATGGGATATTTTTATTCTTTGATGTCACGTGCTTGGCAAGTGACCCATCAAAGTTCACGGTGTTACTTTGGGGGTTAAGTGAGACAGGTTCAGAAGGAAAAACAAAGTTCAGGGGTGTTATGTCTGAAACCCGGTTGAGTGAAATTTACCCTAATAAATGTTTGTTCTTACAGTAGAAAGATATGCATATTTTGCAGTTAATTTCAAACCTTATAAATTGTTGGCTGTATCACGTATTGTTTCCCATTGTATTCTGATGTGGGATAGAGGAAAGCACCAAGGGCAACAGTGCTGCTAACTTGAACGAAGCCAGGGCATCTCAGATTGAAGCATCCCTTGTTACCATCCTTCAGAGCATTTACAAACATAAGAAGATGGGTATAAAAGATTAATCTCGGTGATAGGCAAGTGAAAATGTAAACAATTGAGGTCAAATATGGGGAAAAACATTGTATTTTCGTGAGGAATTAAAGGGCTTCAAAGGATACGGTTGATAACTTACAATTGAAACATCATGCATTTTTATATTCATGGATAAGAATCGTGGAATTCTTTTGATAGAAAGAATAAATCTACATGCATGTAGGTAATCGAGATGGATGAGAAATCTACACGTAGAAAGAAAAATAATATAATTAAACCTGCTAAAAGGAAGAAGTCGGAAAAGGGGACGAGGAAGTTATTCTGGTTCAGAGAGAGACACGTTAAAAGTTTGTTTGCAACTATCAAATTACATGATGATCCAGTTTAATAGGCGATACATCCTAAAATGTGGATAAAACTGATATTTTCAAGTTTTCGACCTAACCTTCTAAAAGTTAAAAATGATGGTGTTAGGGTACACGCCAACAAGAACGCCTCAATCGGAGACGCAAAACACACCCAAACGATCTTGGAATCACAGAATAAAACCAATAAACACGAATTCAATCACAGTACTCATAGATATATATAACGTGGTTCACTCTTACGGACCAATTCCACGATGCAACGACGACGCCAAATTTCTTTATATTCCTTTCAAGGTTATAAAGGAAAAAGATAAAAGAGAACACCCTCTTTTAATCAAGATACTCTCCAAGAATTCTCACAAACTCTCTCTCAAGATCTCTCAATGATATTACTTATATTTGTATCTTTCTCTTTCTCTCTCTGCTAGTGAGATGCTTTACAAATCAAATTTAGGGGGGTATTTATAAGTTTTCTCATGGGGGTAGGTGAACACTATTTAGGGTAGGTGAACACTTCTTGCTTGCTTGCTTGCTTGCCCAAATGAGAGCACAAGACCCCTATTTATAGTTGTTTAAGAGGGCTAGGAAGTGTGTAGAAGAGTTAATCCTAGCCATACATTACTAAGAAGTTTCTAGAAGAATAAATACTAGCCATACACTTGTATCTTCCTAGAAACTTCATGGTAGATATTTTGTAGGATGTTACTAGAAAGAAGTTCTAGAAAGTTGTTCTAGAATAATCTAAGTTGGTGAGGAATTCTAATAACGCTCTCTCTTGAGTATCACAAACTCGCCCGAGCCATTCAACAATTGAAGCAGACTCAAGATTAGAGAACAAAACCATTGGCCAGTAGCCAACAACTTCATCCTCAAGCATCAACCACCATTTCTTTTGGACGTCATCCTGTAAAAAATAAAAGATTGGAATTTTTTTAGGAAGTTAGAAAAGGTAGATTTCACTTAACGCTCCTCAACTTTGTTTGCTCCACTTGACCCATCTGAACTTTGGGGTGTCTCACTTAGCCCCACGAACTATGAAGTTTTGACAACATACCCTCCTAATATCGTTACTTGTTAATGGTGAAATGATGCAAATGCCCTTTCTGGAATATAACCCCTTAAAATGAAAAAGATACACGGTTAATGGGATATTTTTATTCTTTGATGTCACGTGCTTGGCAAGTGACCCATCAAAGTTCACGGTGTTACTTTGGGGGTTAAGTGAGACAGGTTCAGAAGGAAAAACAAAGTTCAGGGGTGTTATGTCTGAAACCCGGTTGAGTGAAATTTACCCTAATAAATGTTTGTTCTTACAGTAGAAAGATATGCATATTTTGCAGTTAATTTCAAACCTTATAAATTGTTGGCTGTATCACGTATTGTTTCCCATTGTATTCTGATGTGGGATAGAGGAAAGCACCAAGGGCAACAGTGCTGCTAACTTGAACGAAGCCAGGGCATCTCAGATTGAAGCATCCCTTGTTACCATCCTTCAGAGCATTTACAAACATAAGAAGATGGGTATAAAAGATTAATCTCGGTGATAGGCAAGTGAAAATGTAAACAATTGAGGTCAAATATGGGGAAAAACATTGTATTTTCGTGAGGAATTAAAGGGCTTCAAAGGATACGGTTGATAACTTACAATTGAAACATCATGCATTTTTATATTCATGGATAAGAATCGTGGAATTCTTTTGATAGAAAGAATAAATCTACATGCATGTAGGTAATCGAGATGGATGAGAAATCTACACGTAGAAAGAAAAATAATATAATTAAACCTGCTAAAAGGAAGAAGTCGGAAAAGGGGACGAGGAAGTTATTCTGGTTCAGAGAGAGACACGTTAAAAGTTTGTTTGCAACTATCAAATTACATGATGATCCAGTTTAATAGGCGATACATCCTAAAATGTGGATAAAACTGATATTTTCAAGTTTTCGACCTAACCTTCTAAAAGTTAAAAATGATGGTGTTAGGGTACACGCCAACAAGAACGCCTCAATCGGAGACGCAAAACACACCCAAACGATCTTGGAATCACAGAATAAAACCAATAAACACGAATTCAATCACAGTACTCATAGATATATATAACGTGGTTCACTCTTACGGACCAATTCCACGATGCAACGACGACGCCAAATTTCTTTATATTCCTTTCAAGGTTATAAAGGAAAAAGATAAAAGAGAACACCCTCTTTTAATCAAGATACTCTCCAAGAATTCTCACAAACTCTCTCTCAAGATCTCTCAATGATATTACTTATATTTGTATCTTTCTCTTTCTCTCTCTGCTAGTGAGATGCTTTACAAATCAAATTTAGGGGGGTATTTATAAGTTTTCTCATGGGGGTACACTGCCGACTCTTTGATGAGAAGGCTATCCACTCTCTCAACAATCTCCCACTTGGAGAGTCTTCTCAACGAACTCTGTTTCTTGGTTACACCATCCGGATGTCTTGTATCTTTGGTGTCTTGTACGGCCCTCAACTTTCGAACACTGCCGACTCTTTGATGAGAAGGCTATCCACTCTCTCAACAATCTCCCACTTGGAGAGTCTTCTCAACGAACTCTGTTTCTTGGTTACACCATCCGGATGTCTTGTATCTTTGGTGTCTTGTACGGCCCTCAACTTTCTCCACTGAGGCCATATGAGGCTGCACACGGTCTCACCTTCTCGAGCGGAACTGGTTTGGTCAGCATATCGACTGGATTGTACCTCATATCAATCTTTACAAGCTTGAACTCGTTTATGCTTTGCCATCTCCGTATGGCATGATGTTTCACATCAACATGCTTGGTCTGAGCATGGAATGCGTCGTTCTCCGACAAGTGAATGACACTCTGACTGTCGCAGTGAATGAAGTATTTTTTAAAGCTTACCCCAAACTCGAGAAGAAAAGCTTTCAACCATAGCAACTTCTTTGCTGTCTCTACTACAGACACGTACTCGGCTTCAGTTATCGACATAGTCATAATATCCTGTAACTTGGATCTCCAACTTATCTCTCCACCACCCAAGATGAAGATGTAGCCGTTCGTGCTCCTTCTTGAGTCTATGTCCCCGGCGTAGTCTGCATCATAAAAGCCCTCTAACTGTAAACATGCCCCGCCATACTCAAGATAACGGTTAGATGGGCATCTCAAGTAGCATAGAAGCCACTTGATTGCACCCCAGTGGTGCTTCTCTGGATTGCTCATGAAGCGGCTCACAACTCCGATTCCTTGTGTAATATCTGGTCTCGTGCACACCATCGCATACATCAAACTCTCAACGGTAGATGCGTATGGTATATTGGCCATGAACTCATGCTCTTCAGCAGTCTCTGGTGTTTGGATCTTTGATAGCTTGAAATGGCTCGCAAACGGCGAGCCCACCAGTTTAACTTTTTCCATACCAAACTTTTTTAAGAATCTTCTCAATATAGGCCTTCTGAGACAACCTTAGCCTACATGCTGATCTATCTCTGATGATCCTCATCCCAAGAATTTGTTTTGCTGGATCCAGATCCTTCATCTCGAAGCACTCAGAGAGACGTCCCCTGAGTTCCTCAATGTGGGCCAAGTCGGGTACTGCAATCAACATGTCATTAACATAAATTAAGAGTATCACATAGGATTCGTCATACCTCTTGATGAAGTAGTAATAGTCTGTGTTGCATTTGAGAAAACTGTTCTTCTCCATAAAGTTCTTGAACTTCATGTACCGGTATCGTGGAGCTTGCTTCAAGCCATACAAGCTCTTGCGCATGCGACAATCAAGGCCATCCCTGCCTCATTCCGTAAAGCCTACTGGTTGATGCATGTAGATCTCTTCCTCCAAATCTTCATGAAGGAATGTAGTCTTCACATCCATCTGCTCTAGATAGAAATCTCGAACTGCTACAATGCTCAGCATAATCCGGATTGTGGTCAACTTGACGACGGGAGCGAAAACATCAGAATAGTCTATCCCTGCTTTCTGCTCATAGCCCTTCACTACAAGCCTCAGTTTGTAACGTCTCCGTCCATCGGCTTCATCCTTGACCCGATAAATCCACTGATTGTGAAGAGCCTTTCTCCCTCTTGGAAGCTTTATGAGCTCCCAAGTCCCATTCTTCATCAAGGATTTTATTTCTTCCTCCATGGCAGACTCCCACTCACCCCGAGCTTTACCGGTCTGCTGTACCTCCTCATAGCTCTCTGGCTCACCATTGTCAGTCAAGAGAAGAAAATTCATGGTGAAAATATACCTCTCTGGTACCCTCGGATTTCTTGGAGCTTTGCGAACTACGATCGCAGCTCTGCTAGATCCTACTGTTGTGCATCTGACACGTTCTCTTGGTCTCCATCTTCTATGCTGACCGGTACCTCACTGTTGTCCTTACTGCTAGCAATATCTAGGAAAATAGGGGGAAATAGCTGACTCCCACTCACCTCTTTGGTCTTGTACACCGGATCCTCATGGAACATGACGTCACGACTGCGCACCACCTTGCGTGCATCGTGATCCCAGAAATGGTACCTATACTCATCTTCTTCATAGCCGATGAAAGAGAACTTTTTTGACTTTGGATCAAACTTTGACCGGTCTGTAAGATTGGTCATGACATAGGCGTCACAACCAAATACTCGTAAGTATTCTAGCTTCAGATTCCTTCTGGTCCAAGCTTCTTCAAATGTACCATAACTGAGAGTCACGGATGGCCCACGGTTAATCAAGTATGTAGCAATATTCACAGCATCGGCTCAAAAAACTCTTGGGCAATCCAGAGTGGATCCTCATACTCCTGGCGCGCTCTAAGATAGTGCGATTCATACGCTCCGTCACTCTGTTGTGCTGAGTTGTGCCTGTAATGGTCTTCAGTCTCCTAATCTCATGGGACGAGCAGAAGTTTTTGAACTCCTTACTGCAATACTCACCTCCATTATCAGACTTTAGACACTTCAGTTTATTGCATGTTTTATTCTCCACATAGGCTAGCCACTTCTTGAAGATGATGAAAACATTTGACATATGCTTCAAGAAGAACACCCACGGTTTTCTAGTAGCATCATCAATGAAAGAGACAAAGTAAAGAGAGTTACCAATAGATGGGACTTGCGCAGGTCCCCACACGTCGGTATACACCAACTCTAATTTCTGTAGTTTTGGAACTGGCCTGGTCATGTTGAAGCTCACCTTCTTCTGTTTGCCTAGGATGCAGTCCTCACAAAAAGTCAGATCGATCTTGCTCAGACTTAGAAATCTCTCTCCTACGGCCATAATCTGCATCCCCTTCTTGTTCATGTGGCCAAGTCACTGATGTCAAGTCATGCAGTCGGCAGATGATGATGATGCTTGTCCTACGACAAGCAAGTGGTCGATCTTCCCATTGGCGATGTAGAGAGACCCCTCACGTTTGCCGTGTGCTACCACAAGGGTACCCTAGGACACCTTCTAGCTTTCCTACTCAAATGATACTCTATAACCGAAGTCAATCAGTTACCCGACTGATATAAGATTCTGCTTAAGATCCAGTACATGTCGAACATCGTTTAACATCAAGATGGTCCCGCCCTCCATCTTGAGGGTACAATTTCCCTTCCTGGAGATATGTAAGGTTGATCATCACCAAGATAGATTATCCCCAAGTCCTTCTTCACGAACGTTGAAAGCAGCTTTTGTTGTGAGATTGCATGGAAAGATGCGTTAGAGTCGATGAACCACGCATCGATCTTGTCTTCAAGGGATAGGAGAAGCATATCTAAATTTGTCTCGTGCATAAGATTAGCTGCACCATCAGCTTGATCATCCCCTGCTGATGCTAGAATAGAAGCTTTGCAGTCCCGTGCAAAGTGACCATTCTTTCCATATCTAAAGCACTTTCCTTCACCATAACCATTCGGGTTCGGCCCTTTAGACTTTCCCCTAGATTTTGATCGGCCTCGTTATCCCCTACCCTTCTTCTGCATATGCCCTCGTGCCTTGACATGCAGAGCACTCTCACTGCTAGAGGCCTCAGCTCCTGAGGCTTTACGGCGAGATTCTTCATCCAAAATTACCTCAATCACCCTATCGAGTTTCATCTTGTCATTATCATTGGCATTGCTCACTGCCATCACCATATTATCCCATGAATCCGGTAGACAAGAAAGTAGCAGAAGAGCTTAGATCTCATTGTCGAACTTGAGATCCACAGTAGCAATCTGTTGCATCACAACCTGAAATTCGTTCAAGAAGTTCGTTACGCGAGCTCCTTGCTGTATCTTTAGATTGAATAGCTTCTTCATCAGGTACACCTTATTTGAGACAAACGGCTTCTCATACAGCGCCTCTAAGGCATCCATCAACTCCTTGGTGTTGGTCGCATGCGAGACGTTGTAAGTCACATGATGGTGAATGTTGAGCCTTATGGTGACAAATGCTTTACGATCGAGCACCTTCCACTTATCGCCGTCCATCTTCTCAAGTTTCCTCGTCTCTCTTTGGAGGTGTAGGAAGATATCCTTCTGGTACAAATAGTCTTATATCTGTATCCCCTAATGCCTAAAATTTTGGCCGCCGAACTTCTCAATCTGAAGCATGTTGTCTTCAACTGTAGATCTCATGGCGAAAGATTCCGTCTTTCCCGAAACGTATTCTCTGATATCGCTTGATAGGGTACACGCCAACAAGAACGTCTCAAACGGAGACGTAAAACACACCCAAATGATCTTGGAATCACAGAATAAAACCAGCAAACATGAATTTAATCATAATACTCACAGATATAACATGGTTCACTCTTACGGAGCTACTCCACGATGCAACGATGACGTCCAATTCTTTTATATTCTTTTTGAGGTTACAAAGGAAAAAGATAAAATAGAACACCCTTTCTTGATCAAGATACTCTCCAAGAATTCTCACAAACTCTCTCTTAAGATCTCTCAATGATATTACTTATATTTGTATCTTTCTCTTTCTCTCTGCTACTAAGATGCTTTACAAATCAAACTTAGGGGGTGGTATTTATAAGTTTTCTCATGGGGGTAGGTGAACACTATAGCATGAGGGTAGGTGAACACTGCTGACTCTTTGATGAGAAGGCTATCCACTCTCTCAACAGATGGTTGTTTAATCTAAGAACAAAAGAGGTCATTTAGTCATAGAAAATTAGAAAACAAATTTGTCTTCCTCAATGCAGCCTTAACATAATTCCTAAGAAACAGAAGCAACTTCTAACAAAGTAAAGAGCAGAAGAGAGTGTTACCCTCCAGTTGGCAATAAACCTCGTTTTGCTATCCCCAAACAAGATAGGGCTCGCCTGAAAAAGATTAAAATGCTAATGGCAATAAGTTTATGCAAACAAATAGACTTACGGCTATCAAAGAGGATACTCCTACCAGAGGGAAATTTCTAAACAAATCTACATTTTTACTTTATTTGTTAGGTTTTTTTCCTTTTTCCTCTTGGAAACCACCTTAAAAATCGGATCATTATATAGAAACCACCTTTCATTTCATTTTCAGTTTATATGTAAACCATATTTAAAGTGAGTTTTAGTTCCCATCAACCACCTCGTGGCCAAATTTTCACTAAAAAACCAAATATAACCTTTTTAAAATGCACATTTAAGGCATGTGGCCTATATACTAACTAGACCTAAACATTAGCAAAGTGAGTCATGCGTCTTGAGTGTGTGTTTTCTAAGGATATTTTTGGATTTTCGATGAAAATTTTGACTAGGATGTGGTTGATTGGAACCAAAACCTACTTTAAAGGTGGTTTACATATATATTGAAAACGAAATGTGATTTATGTATAATAACCGCATTTTTAAGGTGGTTTTCAGAGGAGAAAAAACTTGACACTATTTGTTATTCCTTCTTTTTGGAGGGTATTAAATGTTATAAAGGCTCTCATTTTCATAATTGACATAGTTTATTCCTTGGCGATCTTACACATCAGTCTAAATATCCTTGTAGCAATCATGCGTTAAGACGTACGTAAGTTGGTGTTAGTACTTGTAGTAACATCTAATATATTTTAGAACTACAATTTATATCACTTCATGTAGATTTATATTCTTCAGAATACCATATAGGCCTATCATTAATCCAAAGATTCACAATTTTTTAGTAATATCCAAACATTTATATTGCGCCCTTGAGGCTTAGCTCAGATTGTAGAGAGTTGGGTGGTTGATTATGGGAAGGCACCTGTGCAATTACTCAAAAAAAGATGGTACCTAGTTAGTTTTAGTGAACAATCTTTGACCAATGACATATTAAAAGACAAAAACACCAGTCCAAGCTAAGCGTCTTTTCTTCAAATATATATATAATGCACAAGAAAAACTTGAGCACGTGTTTGCATTGAAATAATAAGGCATTAAGATATTAACAGAACATAAAACAAAACACCGAGTAGCATCAAGGTTTAATTCCTATATATAACGCAACTAAGCGGGTATCAAGGTTCTTACTCCCCATCCAGATTCTACGAAACTTTGTTGACTGACAGCAGCAATTGAGCTCAAGCTCCATTCTTTGGTCATGACAAGCAAACTCCAGACGTTGATAATTCCAGTAACCCCATAATAAGGCGCCTCTGCTCTAGCGCGTGCCCCTGCAACCTAAAGACGTAAGAAAGGCACAAAATCAATTCGGTAAGAAAATAACTCACATAAACATGAAGGGCTAAGTGCTTCCAAATCCAAGTAAACAAACATTCAACTCACTTCAACTCTGCAGTTTGTCGGCTCGACGTCGTGAATACTACAGCTCCCAGAGGAGTTCGCTCTGAGAAGACCATCTTTTGTTGCTCTTAGAATGGGGATTGTTCCCTTGGGGCAGCTTCCGCTCTTTAGCCAACTTTGTTCAGCAATTGCATATGAGGAAGAATTACCTCTTTTCATGTCAGGTATAAAACTTGGCCTCAGCTGAGAACCAAATAGAGTAGAAAACGATAAAAATTCACCATATTTTGCTTAGAAGGGCAAAGAAAAATGAATAAGAAATTCAAATAGAGAATTCAGATAGCAACCTCAATGGAATGGTTTTTCAGCAAAGGATGGTCGAATGCAGGTTGCTTGTAGATATCTACGCAGTCAATTATCTCGCCGTTAGCACCCTGCAAAATCTCATAAAATGGAAATCATCAACATCTATACTAGACATCCAATATTTCTAATATCGATCAAGTTTCCTAAAGAAATGCAAGGATTTAGAGAGAACCTGAACGGTCTTGATTGCTGTATTGTTTTGTTTGCTAAGCTCTCCTATTTCCACCTGAGTCGGAAATTCCATTCTTGCCGTTATCAGTCTAGCACCGCTCATCAACAGCATCAACACTATAAATCCGAAGCGTCCCTCTTTGCCTCCAAAAGGGTAAAGGTTCTTGACAGAGGTTGATCTTTCCATATTGGTGACAAATTCTTAAAACCCGAACCTGCTAGAATGGAGACAGCAAATTAGACGAATCGGAGGTACAACTAAAATTTTCACTCTTTTGGGGGACTAAGTTGAGGGAAAAATCGACCTAAAAGATCTATTATGTAGATGATGAAAATGCTAAGTAAGCAGGAGATTATGATGCTACTTCTTAGGTTAATAATCCAAGCAGTTGAGAACCTGTTGCGAGGAAAAGGAGAGAGATTTGGCATTTTTGTAAAGTAAAGATTAAGGAAGTTAATGCAGAGATTTGATATTTTATCCAAAGTGCATAAAATAATGTGGCCAGTAGAACTACGAATGGGCTATAAAATGGATACGGTCGAGAGAAATATAGTACTACATCAGCTGAGAATTAATGCTCATTAACTCAGGCTAATGTCAAGCAACTGTAATCCTCTATCAGGATATATAGAACTAGGCTACTCCATCTTCTTCCAAGATTAGCTTAAATGCATAGAATTTCTCAGAATCAGTAGAAGTTTTAGACTTTCAGCATTTAATTTTGATTATTTCATGTTTCACCTTTAACAGTTAAAATCAAGGGAGTCTAGGATATTCACAATAAATATCAAGTGCAATGAGCGAAATTCTAGAGCTGTTATGACGATTATGTATTTTGGCCAAAAGTAGCAACAAAAAATAGTCATAATTCATCGACAAAATATGTTATTTGGATCAAGCAAGTTTGACCCCTGCTGCTCGTCTCCAGAAGGAATTAACAGAGAACTCCCAGGACAAGCTTACTTCATAACTCCAAGAGGAAGTCTGAAAAGTTTTAGCATATAACATTTCTTATTACATGTTGCATAACCACACAATCAAACCCAGCATATAAGTAGCTTTTAAATTTTCATTAACTAAAGGTAAGATCTGAACTTTATTCCCTTGAACAGATTTAGCTGATGGACTTCATGCAAAATATGGACCCAGACATTTATTCAGACCCTACTGATAATATACAGAATCAAAATTGATTTGGGTTTAACAAGAACAAGGACAACCAAATTTTTTGTGGGTTTAGGATACTCATATTAATTGAAGGATACTCATACTGAACCTTGGTGCATGAGGTAGTTTAATTAATTATCGTGGAGAGCTGGTGGTGTAGTTAATGCGTGGAGCAGTGAACTAGACAAATAAGCTGCTGACCAAATTCTTGACTTAAAATTAAGGATATTAGGCTACAGAAAAGAAGAAATACAAGCAAATGTGGAAATGTATGACAAGATATGTATGATGTTTGTATCTTCAACATATCGAATGAAGGCCCGCCGCAAAGATACTAAAATTTTACTAAACAAACATCTTAACTTCAGCATTTTATAATACTATACTCCAAGGCATCAAAACCATAGTTTGGCTAACAACTGGAGTATTAGATCATAGATCAAAATGACAATGATGAAGAGCATACCCACAGCCTAATTGAACAGTTGAGACCATACAATTAATAGGTCAGTCCTGCTTCAAATTTGCAGAGCCCACATGACAGATGGTAAAGTGATGCAATACCAGGTTACAGTGGGTTGCTAGTGTTGAGTTGAGAGGAGTGGTGGATGTCAAGGAATATTTTGTTATTATTTCTTTAGTGGTACAAACACACTATATTCTCAAATACAAATACTCTCTCTCTGCTACTGGGATGGATCTAACACAAATACTTGGGGGTTATTTATAACATTGGTTTAGGGGTAGGTAAACACTATTAAGGGGTTGTTGATTACTGTTGCATTTGTTCGTTTGTCCTGATTGGCTTCATTACGATCTCCTCCTAAAGAACTTTCTCTCGAAGAAAGTGATGATGTACTTCGATGTGTTTCGTCCTAGCATGAAAAACTGGATTATCTGTCAATCGTATTGTAGACTGATTATCGCAATGTAAAGCTACTGAATAGTCTGTGGACTGATGTAGGTCTCTCATTAACTAAAAAAGCTATGTGCTTTCCTGAGCTTCCATCGCTATTGATCTGTAACTAAAAAAGCTATGTGATTTCCTGAGCTGTCATCGCTGTTGATATGTACTCCGTCTTTGTAGTTAACAGTAAACTGCATTTTGCTGCACCAAGATATAGCCGCTGAATCGAGACTTAAACACGTATCCGGTAGTAGATCTTCAAGTGTCATGATCTATAGCATAGTCAGCATCACAATAGCCATAGATTTCACATTCTTCTCCTTTCTTATACATGAGACCATGGTTAATTGCACCCTTTATGTACCTTAGGATCCTTCAGATTGCTTCTAAGAGAGGCTTCTTTAGCTTCTGCATGTATTGGCTCATCATACCAACCGCAAATAAAATATCTGATCTTGTCATCGTTAGATGAATCAAGCTTCTAACTAGTTGTCGATACATAGTTGGATCTTCCAAATCTTTTCCTCATGTGCACACATTCTCATATTTGTCTCCATCGGTGTTGAGATTGACTTACAATTGTACATCCTGTACTTGAGCAGCATGTCCTTCGCATATTTTTCTTGGCAAATGAGTAGTACATCCTTCCTTTAGTTGACCTCCAATCCGAGGAAATGCTTGAGCTCCCCAAGCTCCTTCATCTGAAACCTGACCGAGAGATTTGTCCTTATTCTTTGGATTTCCGCTTTATCGTCTCTGTTTGCGGTGAAAGTTAATTTCATCATTGCTATCGAATCTATTACAACTTTAGTCGTTACAATAAACTCGAATGAAATAAAAAGTTGATCTTTTTATAAGATCTCCTTACACAATGAAAAGAAAAAGTTTACAACTTTATCAAACAAACGCAGAGATCGTTTATCGGTCTTCTGCTTGCGTGGGATCTTTGCCTGTACCGGGGTTTATCCGTGGACCACCGTCGATCAGATCTGATTGCTGAAGAATTGGGCAGAGCTTCGTCTATCCGCGAAGGGATTGAGAAACCGTAGCTCTTATCTCGGCGAAGCGAGATAATCACTCTTCTTAAGATTACCGCAACGGGATAATCCTAAGGAACGAATCGGGCTGCAGATCTAACTCCTCCTCCTCTCTGAAATCTGTGCACTTTAAGTCTTCAATCCGGCAGGGCTTCGTCGAGGCACGAGAATTCCAGATCTGAAAAAAGTGAGGACCCGGGGCTGTATTTATAGGCTCCAGGAGGTTTCGGGCGGTTAAAACCGCATAACGGGACTTTTCTGCGTTGGAGACACCCCAGGGTGTCTCAAACTAGGCCGAGACACCCTAGGGTGTCTCAAACTGGGCCGAGACACCCTAGGGTGTTTCAAACTAGGCCGAGACACCCAAGGGTGTCTCGGTCATAGCCGAGACACCTCGGGTGCCCCAGTTCAGCCTGAGACGCTCCGCTATGCCTGTTTGATTGTTTCCACCGTAAATTCTTTGTCCGAACTCGGATTTGAGTGATTCCAAGTGCGTTGGGAAGCTGACGAAGAATTCTATAAGCTCCAATGATTATATCATCAATTGAACAAATGAGACATGAAGGGTATTTCACCGTTTGTGAACGATACGAGGTCCCCGATCAGTTCGTATCTTCATCATTCCGAAGTTCCGTTGTTTCACGTAGTTCGTCGGTTTACTTCAAGCGTTCACCGACATCAATCAAGCTTCTATGAACCAGATGGTGACGTTCATCGTCATTTCTTAACACTGAGCTGTTCGTGGAGACCTATAGGCAATTTTCGACGCCTACAGATACCCCCTCCAAAGCATTCCAGACTCGTTTCTTTTGTAGAAGAGGCTAGAATACTTTGGATATGATTGGTCCAGCCTTCAATCGGCATAAAGGACCTATAGTTAGCTTCGATTCTTGACTCCTTCGATTTTCAGTCTACTCGATGGTTTGATGAATAGCTGAAATCCTTCCGGCGCTGCGTTTATCGTCTGGCCGTCGTCGAAGTCTCAAATCTAAAACTGATGAGTTGAGTTTGGCTCGTGTCGTCGAATTGACTTTGAACTGACTACCTCCTTCATGATATATTGATTCGCGTTGACTTTTTGATCGCAACGCGTTGACTGGCGTTGACCTAGGGTTACGCGTTGACCGGCATTGATCCTAGGGTTTCGAACGTCGTATGTTGACTTTTTTTTGTCGTAACGCGTTGATTGGCGTTGGCCTAGGGTTACGCGTTGACCGGCGTTGACCTAGGGTTACGGATTGCTCGGTGTTAACTTTGGGTTTCAGACCGCCCGACGTTGACACAGTTTATACTCGTACGTTTACTGGAGTACACACAGTTTATGCTCTTAAGGTATTGGAGCACGGCGGTCCTAAGTGTCGGAGCTGCAGGACCCACTGTTAAAGCTGATTCATCTGCATGTATAGATCTTATCCTGAAGTTGTTGGATGCTCAAGTCACGAGACCAACTAGTGGAGCTGGTGCGTCAATGACTCGCATTTATAGAATTTTTGGCAAATTCTCAGCCATCAACGGGTTTGATGAGCCTTTACCGACTACCGTTTGAGTCGGGCTAGCATGCGGATTGTTTAAGTCCGTTCCACATGTGACGTTAAGCTAAAAGAGTTAACATTTTTAGTGCTACGATATTGAATACGTAGACTTCGTCTTTCTCCTGTGAAAAGACTAAACAACGACGTGTATCAGACGTTGACTTAGGATTTTTGGCAAATCATCAGCCATCAACGGATTTAATATGTCTTTACCGACTACCGTTTGAGTCGGGCTTACATGCGGATTGTTTTAAGCCCGTTCCGCATGTGACGTTGTGCTAAAGGAATGAACTCCCTTAGACTTGATGCTACGACTTTGAATACGTAGACTTTGTCTTTGTCACGGGAATAGACTATCCGACAACGCATGTTAGGCGCTGACTTATCCTTACTTAGGATTCAGGATAAAAGTCCCCAGAATCGGATTCTGATGTCTTCTCCAATCGGTAAAAGACTAAACCGGCAACGCGTATTAGGCGTTGGCTTATCCCTGCTTAGGCTTCGGGATAAAATTCCCCATACGTGTGAAGCACGGATTTTGGC